ACTTACCAATAGACTATCCACATGCTTTGTACATAGCCTTGGACTCTGCTGATTGATCATTCCATTAGGTACCTATAGTATATAACCTCCTGTAACTTTCTGTAGTACCTCAGTTTGAATATCATCTTAGTTCTACTCATTCCTGTCCTCTGGACTTGAGTACCTCTACTCTTGTCACCCTCCAAGACTTAGGATTGATTCCTATAATCTATCCATATCCACCTCTGTCCCTGACAGTCCATTACTGTTAGTTTCTAGTCTGGATTAGCCTTACAATACTTATCCCTCATCGGGAAGTCATCTGGATCCGTTATGCTACTCATCCGACCTTCCGGATGTGCTAGTCTTGCCTTCCTGAAATAAGGGGCAATACTCAGGTAAGGGGCACAGTGCACGAGCTGAGGCCAAAGCCCTTCAGATCCAGTTATCCCTTGAGTACGACCTTAACACACGCAGTTCCTGCATGCCTCCAGATCATATTTCATCTGAGGACAAGCACATTTTCAATTCCAGACCAGTCCAGACCACAGGAAACTCACCTTTTCCGCCCTCCGGGCCTTCTCAGCTCTTTCCTTCTGGATCTCAGCCAACTCCCTCTGCTTCTTCTCCTCATCCTCCTGACATTTCCACTCCTCTGCCCTCCGGAACTCTTCCGCCTTCCAGTGCTCTTCTGCTTCATCAGCCAGACAGATGTTGGCCTCCACTTCTGCTAATTCCGCCCTCATCCGGGCCTGACACAGTTCCAGTTCCTCCCTGGCAGTTTTTGGCTTGTTAGATTGGTTGGAAGAGTTGCTAGACATAGTGAATAAGCTGATGGAAGAATATGGGGGGTAAGAATCAAATAGGATGCTTTGGCAACACTATATCTGTGAAATCCATCCCCTGGAATCCCCCATCGACTTCTCCATCATCTCACACTCATTTCTTCCGGACCCTCATTTTCCGACCCCCTGTGCCTCAAGGGTTCGGCCTAAAGGGGGAGATACTGTCATATGCCATTCCAGACTCTCAACTCTAAATCCGCTTCTCCGGATATCCGGATCTGAGATCTGGATCTCAAATGATCTGATCTATCTTTATCTCCCTTCTGGAATCCAAACCCTATATCAGCACCCAACCCCATTTAGACTGCCCCTGTCTCCGGACTCCGGTTAACCATGTTTCCCTTTTGATTATTGATCTGTTACATACATTTCATTTCCGGTGTTCATTATTTGTGATCTGTCCTACTTACTAATAGACTCTGCATATGCTTCATACATAACCTTTATGTTTGCTGACTGATTCCTATATGATACCTACAGTATATAAACCTCCTGTAACTCTTGGAAACACTCCAGTTCGAATATCATCTTAGTTCCTGCTCATTCCTGTGTCCTCCGGACTTGAGATAAGTCTTGTGTCATATTCCAAGTCTTAGGATTGCATCCTAGACTACATTTCTGACTCTACCTTAAGGTAGACCATCCTCTGTTAGTTTCTAGTCCAGACTTCATCTGGATTAGTCTTATCCGCTTGCCCAGGTAACATCCGGATGTCTGTCGGATTTATCTCATGTTTCAGATCCGGACATCCATTATCCACCCTAGTCAAATCCCAGAAACTCCGGACGACTGTTCTAGCCCCCGGAAATTAAGGGCACATACTCGGGAAAGGGGCACAGTGTATGAGCTGAGGCCAAGCCCTTGTGATCCGACCCCCTTGAGCACGTGACTGTCATATCCCACAATCTGGACCCACATTCCATCATATTCCCATGCCTTCCGAGCCTACATCCGGACCCCACTTCATATCCAGCTCATTCCCAGATCCCCTTCCACTGTGCTCCACACCTCAGCAGGATCAACTACACTCTGGATTTACCCCTGAGCTCTGGACCATCGGATCTCCACTGCTAGCCTGATCCATACCCCCCTGTCCCATCCACCCTATGCACACTCCATCCAGCAAGACATCCAAACTTCACCTCATCTTGGATTCCGGACTATATCCACCTTCTCGTATTCAGGTCCTGTATCCACCTTGTCTTCCAGATCCCCAGATCTCCGGACCTCCAGATATTAACGCTGGACCTATTCCCACCCTCTGTCCAAGATCCTGCGCCTATCCCCATTTAGGCATCTCTACCTTTCCGGCTTTCGATTATCTCTTCTTCCGTCTTGCTTATTGATCCTTGTACGAGTCCTCATCTCTGAGTTCATTTACTTATGTTCCGACTTACTTACTAATGTGTTTCCACATGCTTGTACATAGCCTGCTCCTTTGCTTACTGATCCCCTCAGATATTGTTCAGTATATAACCCCTGTAGATACTCCTGTAGTTCCTTAGTTTGAATATCACCTTAGACTTGCCCAATCTTCTTCCAGACTTCAGTCCATCTGAGTTTGTCCTTTTCCATAAGGCCTAGGGATGGACTCCCTAGGCCGGAATTCTGGACCTTCGGATTTGTCCCCTATGTCTCTGTCCCAAGTCTGGGGATTGCTTCCCTAGGCTAGAGTCTTGCCTTTCCTGGCACTTACCCTCTTTCTGGACTTAGGTCCACTTCCTGTCCCTCTAACTCTACCTTAGGGTAGTCTACCTCTGTTTGCTTCTACATTGGACTTCGTCTGATGTAGCCCCTATTCCTTCCAGACCTCTGGACCTCCTGTCTTCTGTACCTCCAGGCATCCTGACCCTCATACCTCAGGCATCCATACCTTCGGATATTCCGTCCTCCATACCTCCAGACCTCCTGTCCTCCATACTCCAGACCTCCGGACATCTTGTCCTCCTGTCCTCCAGACCTCCTATCCTTCCATCCTGTTTTCCTGTAGAAGTATTACCCTGCAGTGGGAACTCTCCTGAGCATTTCCTGCATTCCTCCGGAACTCTCCCACGCTCCTCCAGAAGTCCTCCCACACTCTCCACCAGAGTAGCCAGCCTCCAGAAGTCCTCCAGACTTCCTCTGAAATGAAGGGCACATACTCGGGTAAGGGGCACAGCGTACGAGCTGAGGCCAAGCCCCTCTGAGTCAGTCTCTCTCTCCTTTGAGCATGGTTCTTAATAGTGACCTTAACAAACTACAATTAACCTTGCATTCTGGAGTAACTTGTCAAGCCTGTTACGAACTTGGATAGAGCGTCATTCCAATAAAGGAATCAGTACAGGGCTATATGAGGTGGAATAGAGTAGGGATTCTCTGTGAGTTGGAGGGGAGGATAAGTGCAGAGCAGTACATCTCAATTTTGGAGGAGGGTCTGCTTAGAAGCATGCAGAAATGAGAAATTGATGAAGAACACACTATCTTCTAACAGGATAACAATCTTAAATATACTCCAAGTCAGCTACCAAATGGTTTAAAAACCATGATATTACTGTTCTATAATAGCCAGCATAGTCTTCAGACCTCAACCATATTGACCAACTCTGGAAATTGCTCAGGGTATTACTTGCAATATATCAAGATCCTTCATAGGGGCTATTTCAGCTATGGGAGGGAGTTGCAGCATGGTGGGAGAAGATTACTAATGGGTCATGCTAGGAATTGATAAAGAGTGTGTTTATAAGAGTGGTAGAAGTGATTAGAACAACAGGAGGAAACACCAAGTACCAGAATTATAGAGAATGTATTGGTCAAATTGAAAGTCAAAAAAGTGTCTTAATGAGTCACCAAATTAAAATGTCCATATCTTCACATGATGACATCGGATTCCCACGCTATGGGGAACAAAGACAAAGTGAAGAAGCAGAGCATTCTGACACCTCCCTATAGCTTAGTCATATTCCCACACCCTGACTCACAATGAAGCAATTACATGAAAACCCACAAATATTGGGACACTTTTTGAGCCACTGTAAGAGTCTGTTAGCTAGGTGCTTGGTGGGCACAGAAATGAGAAAACTTGCACTTGGCATTTTCCTATCCAGTTCAAATTCCTTGTGGAAGTGTTCCTTCATGGTTTCCAGTGTCAGGGAGTGTACCACTGGTTCAGAGATGATGATGGTCATTGGTGGGAATCAGAGGGATAGTGCTATAAGTGGCAGAAAATGAGTGCCATAAGGTTGCTCATGCAGCCAAATCCAGCAGATAAGGACCTTGAGGTGATTGCTGTTGAGTTGGTGAGCATCTGGTGTGATAACTTGATTCTGTTCTGAGTTTCAAGTTGAAACAAATTTAGTCATTTCTGAACCAAATTGAGTTCACATCAAACACTGTGATGAGTCCACTCACTGAAGTAAGTGACCCTACTGATATTTGATTAATGTGCTGAAATGAAATTAGTGCATATGCCATGTCAGTCACTTATGAAAAAAAATGCAAGCAGGAGAAGACACATCAGCAAACTACTGTGCACTTGTATAAGCAATACAATTTCACAAGAAGGTTCCTCCTTTACAAGTTGTCACCAAGCCTTACAGCCTATACAAATGGTCACAATGATGACACATTAAACATGCTATACAAACTAGACACATTATACAGTTTAGACATAGTATACACACTTAGGTCAAACTTATAGCTGTTTTAATATATGATGGGAGTGGCATCATTTTTTTTGTAAATTACACAAAATACGATTTAGTAGTGAATAGCCTCTGCTGCATCATGGTGTTCCACAAGATCAGCAACAACGTCAAGTGAGCAGCCATCCATCTTTATGAGCACAACTTACTGAACCTCCAGGACATTCTCAACTGCTGCAGGTTCTCACAACAGACATGGTACTGTGTCTTGAGGCTGTGGAGAGACACTGGTGATGTTGTCAATCACCTGAGGGGAGTTCATAGCCATGTGCATCATCTGGAATGCAAAGACATTGAATATCTCCTAGAACTTGTTCATGACAACCCCAACTACTTCCTTAATGAGCTCATCAGCCTCGCAAGAACCAACCACTTCATATCTATTCATCTCACCACTGTCTTCAATGAACTTGAACATGCTGGTATGAGCTGAAAGAAACTAAAATGTATTGCTTCAGAATGTAATGAAGAACTCTGTGCTGCATTTGTAGCTTGCATGTCTCAATATGATGCTACAGAAATAGGGTTCATTGATGAAGTCTCAAAAGACGAGCGGACACTCGGATGGCATTATGGGCACTCATTGAGAGGAAAATGGGCACATGCACATCAACCCTTTGTCCATGGGTGTCATGTCAGCTTGGAAGCACTGTTGACTCTTGATGGCATTGTTGCATGCACTGCTATCAAAGGTTCTATGATGAAAGAGCTCTTTCTTGAGTGGCTGGAATTTACTGTTGTGAGTTACATATCAAGCTACATTCTTGGACATCTGATGAGTCTGATAACCTTCTAGTTACCAAAGTGCTCTGCATATCCAGGCCCATTGAGTGTCCTTGTGATGGACAACACTTCAATTCACCATGGTGCTGAGATTCTTGAACTTGCAGACCATTTCAGTCAGTCTATTTGTGATTTCCTCTCATTCCTACAATGATTATCATGATGGGATGCATATACCAGGTGTTTGCATTGAATTTCTTTCGCCATACTTCCCTGATCTTAATCCCATCAAAGAAGTGTTTTCAAAGATCAAGCATTTCCTTTGTCATCACCATGAATACTATAGTGCAATCACAGATGATGGAATCCTTTTGTTAAGGTCATACTCAAGGGTTAACAGATCCTAAGGGCTTCAGCCTCAGCTCATGTGCTGTGCCCCTTACTTGAATCTCAGATCCAACCCTTATCTCAGATCCACATCTTATCTCCGATGCTATCCACATCTTATCCCCCTCCAACATCTCATCATTCAATCTGTCCACTCGTCCGGTCCATTCCACAACTCATCCGAATCAACAACCAGCGCTTGTCTCTTTTCGGTAACCCCCTAACTCTGGTATTTCAGTTATCTGTATATCCATCCTGCTCCCTTATCTGCTACCTATGTTTCATTTCCATTTCATGATTTGTGATCCATTTCTACTTACCAATAGACTATCCATATGCTTTGTACATAGCCTCGGACTCTGCTGATTGATCATTCCATTAGATACCTATAGTATATAACCTCCTGTAACTTTCTGTAGTACCTCAGTTCGAATATCATCTTAGTTCTGCTCATTCCTGTCCTCCGGACTTGAGTACCTCTACTCTCATCACCCTCCGAGACTTAGGATTGATTCCTATAGTCTATCCATATCTGCCTCTGTCCCCGACAGCCCACTACCATTAGTTTCTAGTCTGGACTTGTCTGGATTAGCCATACAATACTTATCCCTCATCCGGAAGTCATCCAGATCCGTTACGCTACTTGTCTGACCTTCCAGACACGCTAGGCTTGCCTTCCTGAAAAATACTCGGGTAAGGGGCACAGTGTACGAGCTGAGGCTGAAGCCCTTCAGGTCCAGTTACCTTTTGAGTATGACCTTAACACAAGGTATGCAGATTATGAAGCCAATTCTCCCTGTCTCTGTCAAACTTACTCTCAATTTAATCAATAGAATTTAATCTTTATGCATATTTGTGATTTTATTCAGAAACTGTCCATTAACCGCACGATAGTCAAATAGGTTGAAATATGCACGATTTCTCTCAGGATATGCATCACGTCTGTTTGTAGAACTTTTCCGGCTGTGTCTCAGGTGTGAGAGGGTGCAAGCTGAACGCTTACTATGTAACACTTACCTTATCGCACATCATGTGACCTTTCCCCTTATATTCCGTCGCTTTCATATCGTTCAGACTGGACTCGGGTCTCCTACCTGCCATCACATATCCATTTGTACAACGCTCAAGAAATCCACAGTTTCGTCCTGTTGCTTTCGCCCGATTCGTTTAGTGTTCCTTGTCGTTTCCTGACAAGGTTCTACATAAGTGGGCAAAAAGTAAACTTGTGATTTCTTCATGTACCTTCTTATCTCACTACTAGACACGAGACACACACATGGTCACGATACCACGTGTACAGTCCGTATACACTGGTGCCACAGAGTTGGCCGTACCGAATAACTGGATTTCCGATCATGAGAATAGTCGCTTATCTGCGTTTGAGGTAGATACTTATAGTCTGATGTGCTGAAACTTCTCGCAGTACTCTTATCAGGTACAATGAGTCTGACCGCCACAGGGCGATCAAGGTCCGTACACTGGTGCAACAGAGTTGGTCGTACCAAACAACTGGATTTCCAATGACGAGAATAGTTGCTTATCTGCGTTTGAGGCAAATACTTATAATCTGATGCAGCGCTGAAACTTCTCGCTTCTCTTGCAGTACTGTCTTATCAGGTACGATGAGTCTGACCGCTGCAGGGGCAATCGGCGAGCACACTGTGCCCAGCGAGAAAGCTCTTAGCACTAGCGACAAATCCTTCGATAGGAAAGGTGACGTTGAAACTGCAACAGTTGATGCTAACTCGGACAACGAGGAAGGCGTGCTCTCCAATGAACGTGATATTGCTACGCACGTCATCTCGGTGGACGATGACCCTTCTCTGAACCCATGGACATTCCGTGCATTTTTTATTGGTCTTGGCCTCTCGACCTTTGGCGGAGTACTCGGTAAGCTTCTTTGACTTCGTTTTTAGCCAGTATGATACTCATTAATGTCAATTTGTAGCGGAAATCTATTATTTCAAGCCTGTGCGTAGTAGAGCAAGCATGACGACTTTATGTGCTTATATCATTGCCGCAGCAAACGGTTTTAGTGTCATTGATGTTCCTCGCCGTTATTTCTTATATCCTGGGCGTCTTCATGGAGACCTTTATTCCTCGTCGCGGATTCCTGCGCTATCTAACCCCGTAAACCAGTTTACCCTCACTCCGTTGCTTTATTCTAATCGTCTTTCGCAGGGGCCGTTCAACAAGAAAGAAAATGCTTTCGTTGTGATCATGGCAAGCGCCTCTGCCAACTCCGCCTTAGGTACCGAAGTTCTTGCCGTCCAGCGGTCGGTGAGCCCCGCCCATATTGATGGAATCTACTGATCTTTGCTAAAGGTTGTATTACAATATCACGCCCAATGCCGGTGCCTCAGTATTCCTACTCTTCTCATCTCAACTGCTTGGGTACGAGAAGTTTTGTTAAAGTTCCAGCGGGCGCTGACAAAGTTCTAAGTTATGGAATTGGTGGCATGATGAGAAGTATGTCCACGATTGAATCTGTTAATGAACCCGGTGTTCACATACCTCCACCAGGCATCCTGTTATATCCATCAAAGATGCTATACCCCGGTGTGCTACCATTGCTATCCATGTTCGATGCTCTCTATGAGGGCGGGATGACAGCACGGAAGAAGCTCAGAGTCTTTTACATTGTGTTTACTGCGTAAGTCCCTCGATTAAGACCGGCAATGATCAAACATGCTGATCAACCTAGTATCTTTTTTTGGGAGCTTTTCCCAGAATGGATCTTTCCGCTTCTGATCGGGTTTTTAATTATCTGTCTTGCAGCTCCCAACAATGCCGCCGTCTCGCGAGTGTTTGGTGGTACAAACGGTAACGAGGGTCTAGGGCTCCTGTCTATCTGCTTTGACTGGCAAGTAAGTGTGAACACGAACTTCGAAGTGGATCGCGTTACTGACTCTGCGACAGTATATTTCTGGCGGGGTGAACCCTATGACTATCCCGCTTAAAGCACAGGTATGACCTCTTCTCAAATCCGAGAGTCAGAAGCCTCACACGTATGTTGAACAGTTCTCGAATTTGCTGGGCTACATCCTTTGCATGTGCGATCACTCCGCCTTGATTCAAGACCTTGCATTTACTTATGTCTAGGGTCGTGTTTGTGGCCGTATATTACAACAACATCTGGAAGGCCCAGAACTTCCCATTCGTTCGTCTACATTCATGTACGACGGCTGAACATTGACGCCAACTCCCCACAGCTTTCTCAACTCCTATTTTATGAAAACGGAACACAGTACGACCAAACACTCATTCTCAATGCCAACTATGAAGTCGATCCCACACTCCTTGCTGAACAAGGCATACCTTACTATTCCAGCACTTGGGTAGTCAACTTACTTTCCTCAAATTTGGCAAGTTCACCGAACATCAGTGAGACTCTGCGGACTGATAGTTTGAAATCCTAGGGTTTAGCGGCCACGTTTACTCATCTTCTCCTCTGGAACTGGGACGATTTGCGCTCTGCATGGAGTTGGATGAATTTGTCAAGCATCAAAAAAATATGGGCGAATTTTGACTGGAAGTTCTGGCAATCCGACGGAATGCGGACGCAAGATGTCGATGATGATGATATCGATCCCCACTACAAGCAGATGCTAAAGGTGAGTTTTGCATTTCTCTGTATTCAGCTTACAAACATAAATATTTCTGTAATAGTACCCGATGCTCCCAATAGCTGGTACTTCGTTGTTTTCCTCCTGGCCTTCGTCGTTGCCCTGGTCGTTTTATACAAGACTGATTCGACTTTGCCATGGTGAGTAGCTGTGATCGGAAATATGGTCTAGGCTGATGAGCGGTGAAGGTGGGGCTTCCTTATCTCGCTCTTGCTGGCGACAATTTCTATTCTATTCTTCTGTGCACTCGCTGCGATTACAGGATTGATGTTCGCCATCCAGCCGTAGGTGCTTGTGTTCAATTCCGATCTTCAATACTCCAATTTGCATCCAGGTTTGTCCAGATGATTGGTGGTTACCTTCACAAGGGGTTGCCAGGTGATTGCCTTGCTCGTCGTTGACTTCTAATATGCTTTGATTGACGAATGCGACAGTGGCAAATATGTACTTCGTTCTATACGGATCCAGTATGTGTCAGCTTTACGTTCCAAGAACAGGTCGGCTGATCCAATGTTACAGACAGTGTCACCCAAGCCCAACTACTACTCCGCGACCTCAAGATTGCTCAGTGTGCGTATATTTCAAGCGTGTAGGGGGACAGGGCAATCTGTGCTGACCGTAATTTACAGATGCAAAGCTGCCACCTCGCGCTGCATTTACCGCCCAGATTCTTGGCACGCTGCTTGGTGCCGTCTTGAACTTCAGTGCGCCACTTGTTACATGACTACAAAAATCAACTGACATTGCACATGTAGTCATGATGAATTCAATCATAGATAACCAACGTGAAATCTTGTTGTCTGTTCAAGGAACCAATATCTGGTCTGGCCAACAGCCACAGATGTACAACTCTCAGGCAATTGCATGGGGTGGACTCAGTCATGAACTCTTTTCCGCAGGCCAGAGATACCAATGGGTTCCTTGGGCTTACGTAGTTGGACTTTTCATACCTGTTCCTTTCTGGGTCATCCACAGGTACTGGCCGAAGCTTCGTGCTGATTATCTTTACACTCCAATTATCGCGTAGGTTCAGTGTTCCTTGAATTGCTGTCAGCATGCTCACATATTTCACAGCTACTACATCGGATGGCTTTGTGTTGGGATCAATTCATCTCTCCTCTCCTACTTTGCTGTCGCATTCCTCTCGCAATGGTGGCTACGTACGCGCTACCCTCGCTGGTTTGCTAAATACAACTACATCATCGGAGCTGGTGAGTATTCTCGAACGTCATTAGGAACCCGGACTAATCAAGTGATGTAGCCCTTGACGGAGGCACTCAAGTCATGGTGTTCATCCTCTCGTTTGCGGTGCAAGGCGCTGCTGGGACCTCTCACCTGTTCCCTGCATGGTGGGGCGCGAACCAAGGAGGTAATTATGACCGTTGTCTCATGTTGAACTGAGATTAGTGATCATTGGGTAACTGTGGGACTTATTGCACGTATCATTACCAAGTGGCTCGTATCCATTGTATATAAGCATATAGAGAATGTACTGTATATGTGCATGGTGCAGCACTCTTTCCACGCCTTCAACTACGTAGCTGACGAGGAGTACAGGAAAATGCCTCATTGAATGCGTGCCATGGCTGTGGAAACATGAGGCCGCTAAATTCTAAGCGTGAAATACTGCACTGCCACCAACGCTTCTCACCCGATTTCGGCTGAGGCCCTACGTCGTTTTAGCGAGCCGCGCCACTTGTTCCAAATCACATTTATTTATTTCGATTGAAATATTCATGGCTGCAGCTACAGCGTTCTCTACCCCACTGCACAAGTCTCTCCAACGCTAGCTTCCAGCAGGCTATAGGTGTCTGCACCACTCTGTCGCAAACGGAAAACAAGGATTTCGTAACCACAGCTTTCAACAACAATAGACTTACGGTTAGTACAATGGAACAATAAACAACACGCCTTGGACATGCAACTCATTTGGAGTAACCTTTATCATGATTCGCAGGTGAAAATCCAGACTCAACAAGATCGACAGCCCGTGTATCTATCCTCACTTCTGCCTCTACCACCACTGGTTGGTGCTTTCATCGTTTCTCATGTTCTCGCGTATTGCCAGGTTGCGATTCCTTTCACCCCTTCTTCTTACATTCTCGACATTGGCAGCTGCTAGAGATGACTCTCTGTGTACGTCTCCACCTACGACATTGTAATTGGAATATACCTCATGATTTCTACAGTCACTTCTTCCGTGACTTATTGCTCACCACCAGAGACTCTCCTCATTCAGCAATTTGACATTGCATACTTTGCCAAGAATCAGTCCATATGGTTTAACATCTCCGCAGCAAGTGTCGTACGTGGCTCTCTGCTTCAGCAGAGCTTTACCTCATTTTTCTCTCAAGGATCCCAATGTCAGTGTGACCGCCAATGTAATGCTGAACGTTTATGGAATGCATCCCGTGAACTTCACCATCGATTTATGCTCGCTGTTCAGTGGTGCCCTGTGCCCATTGCCGATGTATAACTTTACCGGTTCCGACTCTATCCCTCTGCCATCTTCCCTCGGTGTTGCCGGCAAGATCCCTAGCATCGCTTTCCAAATTCCAGACCTTGAGGCGTATGGTACGTTCTTGCCACATCATACTGGACGTTGTGCTCATGTCTTGTTAGCACAATTATCCCTCACGGAAGTGAACACTGGAGTCCTTAAGGCTTGTGTTCAAGCAACCCTTTCTAACGGCTGGTCAGCACATCAAGTAGCTGTGGAATGGGCAACTGGTGCACTCGCACTACTTGCTCTTCTCTCTGCGGTTTTCTACTCGTTTACGCCAGACACCCTGGCGCCCTTCCGTCTTTTCGATCTTCTCTACCTATATCAATGGACTGCATCAACAGCACTCCTGGATCTTAATTATTCCTCAGTCTATCAGGCATTTACAACCAACTTTGCATGGGCGATGGGTTTATTCTCCGCGTCCGCGACCTCTTCCATTCAGATTTCCATCAACAACATGCGTCACCTCACTGGAGGCAATATGGCCGATTCCACTGGAGGTTCTGCAGTCGCTCTCGTGAACCGCAAACTTAGTCCATACAATGCCATAGCTTCGTCAACTTCTCTTGCCTCTTCCAGTCAATACGCGGGCATCGGCATAGAGAACCTTTGGGCGTCTTCCAATATGACTTCTGCCAATTATATGTCGGACATCTCGGTCGCCTCTGTTCAAGAACTATCAACCTCTGGCGATGTACAGCTTGTGACATCGTTATCCACGAATGTTCTCCAGGCTGGTGTACCTATCTATGTCAACTCTGTTGGCATCGCCACGGCTAACTCTTTCATGACTGTCTTCCTGGTCGTCTTGATGATCGCCGCGATATTGCTTGCGGTCCTTGCCGTCGGTCATTGCGTCCTTGCTGCAACATCTTTGTATGGACAACGGACAGAAAGGTACATTGCTAATTGGCGTTATCGATATCTTTCATTTGCTCGCGCCTGGCTGCTGCGCATTGTAAGTATGGCTCGGCTTCCATTTAATCATATTCGCTTACGCATTGCCCTAGTGCCTGATCGTATTTACTCCAGTGGCAATATTTGCGCTCTATCAGTGGACGCTCAAGGATTCATGGCTGTCTATCTTCCTCTCAGTGATTTTATTCCTTGCAGTGGTTGGCTACATCCTGCATTCTATTGTCCGCGTACATCGCCTGGCCCTTCGTTCAACGCCCTCTGAGCTGTATACGCAACCCGATCTCATAGCTTCTCATGGTCCTCTGTATGCCATATACCGCTCGGAGCGATTTTACTGCCACTACTCCCTTGTTATTGGCTATTTTGGTGAAGGCTCTCTTTATCGCGTTTTCTCATGCCAACGGTGTCGTGCAAATTGTCGCAATCCTCGTTATAGAATGCATGGTCCTTGCCTCTCTATTAGCCCTTCGGCCACACAAATCAAGGGGTGCTGATGTCCTCGCAACCTACCTGGCGATTACCAGAGTAGTTTGCACTGGCCTCATGATCGCATTTTTGGAGAGCTTAAACCTAGGGGCAATACCTCGGGTTGTGATCGGCATTGTGATAGCTGTTATCATTTCGGTTGCTGTCATCGTCATGTTTATCAACACGCTTGTGAACATGGGGATCATGAGACTTGTCCCGCCACGTTATAGACGGCGCCCGGGTGCCACGGCCAGTGGTTTGGATGCGGAGAAGGGCGCTGGGAATGATGAGAAAGACTGGCGGCCGCGGAATCCTACGCCAGAGCGGAACATTCCCCTGGATCCTGATGTCAATCAACCATATCCTGACAGTCCTTCCCAGACTTTGACGGACCATCAGAGTCTCTATTCAGAAGAGTCGGGGTCAACGACGCTAGGATCACTGCTGCCACGGCGGTGGTCGATCCAACAATCTCAACGCTCAAATCACTCGCGGTCCAACTCTCAATCACAGTACTCGTCGAGTCAATCAAATTATTCACCCTCTCAGTCCAATTATATGTCAAATGTGTCATCACCACGGCAGTCCGTGCCGCCTTCGCCGCTACGCACACAAACACCATCACATAGCAGACAGCCCACTATAGACGAGCGCCCTCCATTTCCATAGACGTTCTTTTTTTCCCTCTTAAATCACGTTCCGTAGAGTTAAAGCACTTTCGCCTTCTCGCATTGCATGTATCATTCTTCATCCCGTTTCACTCGCATTCATTTTCACTCATTTGGACAAATCTGGTAAAGCATGTTGATAGTTCTCAATGATGTGGATGAGTCACGTTACTTATTCTTATTTTCTTAATGTTGCTTTTGTTATAGTCTTACGGGCGAATAATTATTTCGGTGGTCGATCTCTTAGTCTTGGACTAGACGAATGGATACAACTGTTCATTCTATGCACCGTCATTGGAGCCAGGGCGCAGATTATCGGCACGCTGAGATTACAATGACACCTCCCATCCGTAGCCACTAGATTTAATGAACGGTCGATATTTGTAAAGTCAGCTCCAAAGCTCCTTTCTTCGAGAAAACTGCAGAGCCTTGTAAGATCAATCAGATACTCACTCACTATGTAGGCAAGCTCAAACTGCACATAGCACAAACATATATCTTGTGCTCTTATCGCGTCTTGGGTCTGATCGAGACCGAACGCGTGTTCGACTTCTCTTAATTAGGCACATGAATAGCGTAGTAATGACGTCGATGTGAGCTTCGATGATGAAGGGCACGGTGCCTTGTACAAGTTCCATATGACTGACATCTAAATCAAGAATAAAGAAGGGCGGCAGTGACCCTGCCGGTGGCAGCCAAGCCCTATTACGCTCCTCCTGTACGCTGGAATCAAAGTGCTTTTCGAGATGAGAGCTGGCACAACAACGAGCCTGATGGCAGTCCCAAGTGATATTTCGGATCGCTCAGGGCACGTTAATCGTTCTCGCGCACTAAACGCGTACCTACATGCTTGTTCGGGTCCACGACTGAATTGAAAGAAGGCTTTAGTATTGAATGGATCACGTGATTTGTACACGAATTTTGTATTGCAATAAACGTAGTTTACAGTTCACCGCGACACAACAACGATGAGCTCAAAAAAATCATCGAAAAAAGCCGCGAAAGCGAAGGTCCCTGATAGAAATTTAAGGGTAACCGACTTTTTCACCCGAAGACCAGCCCAAGCGTCGAGTTCGTCGGTTGTGTCGTCTCAGCCCAGTCCAGTCGCGTTGGCCACACGTTCGCGTCAAACCCACGCTCATGAGGCATCTGTGGCAGTTTGTAACAAACAGACTATGACTCCTATTCTCTCTGCCTCGCGCACGTCCACTTCTAGTAGTTCTGCTACTCTTCTCTCTCCACCCCACACAGCATCTAGAACTCGTTCTTTTGCTTGTCAAACACCAACAGGTCCTATGCCGTCGTCTCGTATTACACGCAGCCATACAGCACAGAACACCCCTAGAAGGGTCTCTCAAAAGCGTCCTCGTTCCCCAGACCAGTCCCTTGGCGCTTCTCACCTCCTGAGCGCGTCTTCGTCCGTCAAGGCCAAACTGCCTCATAAGCGCAAGAAGAAATTCGAGAGCGACTCCGAGAGTGAACCTCCAACCGGTGTCATTTATGTTCATAAACCAGGCTCTCCTTTTAAACCATCCATACTAGCCCCACCACTCACAGGGCCTCACACCCCATCATCCAGTAAGCATCTCATATACAGTAGCCAATCTGACGAGATGGAACTCGTCGTCCCTGTACTAGACACCCGCTCCCTCAGTCAGGTCAATGAACAGGTCCACAAATGGCGCCAAACCACTTTGGCATCACCATCCTCGTCTGTCATTAATGACAGTAGCCCCTGTGACTCAGGTGTAACGGATGCAGGCCTACCAGTACCTGTTGCCACCCCATTAAATGATGACGCGCGCTCGCGCTCTGCAACGTCCTTGCCTAGTGCACCACCTGAGACACCCCTTCAACCCTCTGCTTCATTGCCCTCTCCGCCTGACACCGCAGGTGCCCCGCCACACCCTGCCACACCTGCATCTGATAAAGCAGGCAAGGCTGCACAGCTCATTGCAAATATCAAAGCAAAAGCATTTGCCGAAAGTCCCCTGAGCGACGAGGAGAAAAACTACAAGTTCCGCGAGCTCGATGAGAGCAGCGACGACGACCTTGAAAACATGACCCTCCTTCCCAACAAGAAGGGCAAGGGCAAGAGGTCTGTCTCATTCCATACACTTCAATATTCCATATTTTGAATTCGAATTCTCTTTAGCTCGCATCTTCCTGTCCTGAATGGTATGGATGGCGTATTCGACTCGCCGCTATCAAGTGTCGCATCTTCGCTACCCAAACCCTCTACGTCCTACAATCTCCGCAACCGCCGTTCTCCTTCTGCCTCCCCCACGCGCCCCCCTGTTGATACCCACAAGATGTCCCGATCTCAAGTACACACCCGCTCTGGCCGTACAAGCAAGCCTGCGCCGCCCCTACACCTTCCCACCATCGTCGTCACCAAGAATGCACCTGGACCCTCAAAGCTCAAAAAGTCCTTCAACCCGCTTGAAGCGCTTCTTCGCGAGAAAAAGGCTGCGGAGAAACGCGGGAACGGGAGTGCTGCATTCCTGCGTGCTGAGGACGCTTTACAAGCGCACATCTCTTCGGATGCGGATCTGGGAGATGATTTGAACTTGGCAGATGAGGGTGCCGCGTGGCAGGCGATTCAAGAACACGCTCAACGCAAATCGAGTAGCCCCATGCTTGAACCACTGGAAGATGATGTGTTTATGGGCGAGCGCGAGACTAAAATTCTTGGTCGTGAGGCAGGCGAAAAGATCGAAAAGATCCTAACCAGTGACAAGAACAGCGGGAGCAGAAAGCCGAAAGGAGAAGGCGTGGGTGTGCCGCTCTGGCGGGAGGGCACGGATGATGGTGGGATGGTTGTTGATGATGAATATAACGTGAGCTTCGGGGATGCCAGTAACCATCCCGTATTGGCACTTTTGCAGCACTTGAGTGGGATCGGAGGTACGTGTATATATCGAAACTAGACTTGGAGACTCATGTTCTGGGTAGCCGCCGATCAACTGGCTTTGACTCTGTCTTCAGGAGTGCTCGGCGCTCTAGGTCCCGAGGAGAAATCTATTGTTGTCTCTCCTCTTTTTGCGCTGGGTGCGTATCGACACTGGTCGAATGATTCATGTCCTTGTTTACTCACGTTGCGTTTCTAGCCATCAGCCTTATTGAGTCCCGCCTCTCTGGCGCGGCATACAGTGCCCTGCATAGTTTGTGGAGTGCAACATCCTGCACATCTAAATCTGCGCTCCACTTTACTGATATCGCTACTGCACTCGTCAACCTTGGTGCATGTCGCCATGTGGCAGAAGACCTCCGCTGGACTATCCGTGAGGATGTGCACCCGTTACATATTACCGCTGAAGATCGTTCGCGTGTTTTGAGTAAGCTTGTAACGCTAGTTGGCATTGCTGGTCGGTAGGTATCAATCATTCTTTCATAGACAGAAACGTATTCATGCATGATGAATCACAGGACGGAAAATCTTGTGGCAGAAGACATCCCGGATGTGCTGTTGAGCCTCGTACTTATCGGCCTCGACAGAACCACTTCCAACGAGTTGAGGACTAACTTACATCTCGCCATTGACGGCATTTGTCGGACCATTAATACGTCAACTGTGAGTTCGCATCCTCAAAATCCAGTGCGTCATTCGTCTGAACACCTTGTAGCACCTTTCCATCCATCAACGACTTCTCAACCATGCGTCTACGCTTACGCCAGCCAATAAAGCCCATTTTGTTTCGTTCTTCAGTAGCGGCAGTGGCCGCACTCGTCACATCGCACAATGGCTAGCATATGCGATGTTCCTTCCTAACAGTAGGCCCTCTGTACGTATCACTCCTACCATGTCTGAGTTTTCTTTCACTGACTGACGTGACTCGTAGGATGCGCTCCCTCCACTCGATCCGCTCATCCTTCTGCTTTCACCTGTACCTGGCTCTGATGAGCTCTTCGACGTGACAAGCGCGAATGCGGACTTTGAGGACCTCGGGCATTACTTCGCTATCATCAGTGTCGCGCTCACAAACATCGAGGCTTACGTCCACGAAGAAAACTCGTTTTCCCAGTCGATTTCTCGCCAATCATCGATTGACGACAGCCCCCGGAAGAGTCAGAAGCCGCTTGCTCCCATCGAACTACTCCTGCGGGTGTTAGAGGTTACGCAGGGGCGTATTGGTGAGCATCCTTTGTATGTAGTCGGTCTCTTGCGGTATTGATGGTGGTTTGATGCAGTCGACACGCGCGCGGCGCACCTAGATCGCTCACGCACAAAGGCAGAGATGCATCGCCTCCAGATGCGCGTGTATTATCAACGCCAGGCACTCAAGCCCGCCGCAGCGTGGACAAAGATGGCCACCATTCAGCATTACTTCGGCCCCAAGTAGCCTCCAAGCATACCTGAGTCGTACATTCTAGGCTCATTCTTTTTTTTGCTATTCTCTTTTCAACGTGTTTTATGCATGCCTCGCTTCTCTGCCATGTGACTTCATGTGAGTTGCTAACCTTATTCCATACGTATCCACTTCGCTTCTGCATGATGCCCCTTTCGTCATGTTTTCCTTTCAGATGATGCTTTCTCTCAACTTGTATGAGCTACCGACAATGCTACTCCCCGTCTCTTCGCCTGCTGCAGTAACATATTATGTCCATTATAGCATGCCTATCGTAGATGAATCTGCTGTCAACCAGCTTTAAATCGTGTATGCTACCTTCGTATTTGTAGCTTACTCTTAATGTTTTTCAGTTTTTGTGTGACATGTCAATTGCTCAATTCTTTATCGTATGAGTAGTGAATGTGCATACAATCAATACGTATCCACCACCTTTTCTACGATGTATGAGCCTCACTCATCTGAGCCTAATGAGCCCCCAGCCTGCCCGAACTCCTTCTTAGCAGCCAGCCGTGGGTCTACATACAGGTCGTCCGAGTCATCGTTGAGGTCAAGCTCGATATCCCATACTGGCGACCGCTCACGTGGAGGTGGGGGCCTGGAAGACGCAGTGGGCGGGGGACTGTCGAGGTCGAGTTCTATGTCCCACACTGGGCTTGGGCTGCGTTGCGCTAATTCCTTTCCTTTTCCTTTGCCCTTGACCCCGCTTTGTGCAGATACTGAGTCCAATATCGCTTTCGAACCTGAGGCAGCCTTAGGTTCTGCCACTTCCGAAATCTTTTCTCCATTGGACGTAGACACAACCTCGTCGCCAGCACCCCGTGGGACTTGCGAGCCTACAGAAAATACAGCACTTGTAGCTCGATTTCGAAATGGTTTGTCGAAGGCGTCTTTGATGCGACGGACTTTCACGGGACCAAAGCCTGGTAAAGTCTGGAGGCGATCAGGTGGGGCACGAGCTATATCGGCGAAGCTCTGGCCCGTTAGCTAAGTATGTTTCAAATCCAAATAATGTGAAGATAACATACCCCAAGTGACGAGCGCAAGGTCTCAACGTCGGTTTTGTTCACCTTATTGATGCTGGTGAGCGCAGTGCGGAGGACGGCATTGTAGTCCTTATCCACACGCTCCTTGATGAGATCTGGTGGCTTGTGCTCGAACTGCTTAAGTGTAGATATGTACTGCCCTGCTTCTTCGATGCTGCAAAGTGAGGCATTCAGTTATCTTATTAATTAAGAGATATGTGGACAAATACCTCCATGCGACGATGATGGTGATGTTATTGATGAGACAGACCTACGTGGATTGCCGTGAAGCTGAGAATTGGTGGTCATGGGAGGGGGCAGACCTTGGTAAGCTCCCGGATTGGCTCCTGATGCTCGCTCTGCGGTTAAGGAATTTAGAGAGCTCTAGGTGTGAGCTCGAGAGCCACTTACAACATCACACATGATAAGTAAAATCCTGAGATTATATGAATGCCCAAGTTTCTCTATGCGAGTATGAATGTACTCTGGGTGCAGTCGGTGATATTTCAGACTTCATTACAATGTCAAGGATGCACTTCAATAATAAGTAACGCGAGACAGAGCGCACCTGAGGAAGAGCACGCAGGAAGTACGCCCCACTTGGAAGTCGGAGACAATGTCGCCAAATTCTTTGCCAACATTACGAATGCACTCGAGGATGGGGTTCAAGCGCTGAGGTTGTTTACATCAAATTGAGTCAAGAGAACTGAAAGGGGAACTGACCTGGTTGGGATTTATGATAATATTGTTGCCTGTGCCAGGCTGTACTACAGGAGGTTTGGCTTTTTGAGCAGCGGATCCCCCTGCTGCTAACACGGCAGTGGTCATAAGAAGGCTTAGTAATCAATGATCAGCAAGTCGACACAAAAAGGACCCGTGACACGCTCCGAGTGCTCCGAGCCTCCGGCCCTTCTTGTCCGTATGATCAACCACTGGCACTACTAACGGTGATTTCCCAGCTAATTTTATTTCGTTATCATACACCGCAGCACATAAGGACCAGCGTCTGTCATTACTTGGCTCTTGCTCATCTCCTTCTTCGGAATGGACAAGCTACCTACATATTCCGAGTCTCCACCAGTCGACTTTCCGCGGCTGGCAAGATGGAAACTGAAGCACAGAATGGCACCGATAGCACTCACGTTGTGTTTAATATCCGGAGCGAGCTTACTTTTATCTCTGTCACAGCTCGCGTTACTGGGAAAGCAGTCCGTTCAGCTCCCCCTCCATGCTGAGCAGATACTGCAGAGATGCAACATGCTTCACGTAAAGCCTGGCCCACCTTCCGACTTTCACCAGCGCACTGAGTCTGACCGTTTCGTCGAAGGAACCCACGCGACTCTCATTAGAAATGCATCCATTTGGACTGGAGATCAGGAGATCACGCAGGGGGATATCTTGCTCGACAAGGGTATCATCAAATTCGTTGGACATGCAAACCCAGGTATGTTCAACAAGTTAAAGGACTTGGTCACATTGGATGCAGGTGGAAGTTGGGTCACACCTGGGTACGCGCGCACATGATCAAACTTCTCTTTCTCTTCTATAACCCTACATCCAGGATAGTCGACCTTCATTCCCACCTGGGTGTTGACAGTGCCCCAGCTCTAAGTGGCGCAAGCGATGGCAATTCACTGAAGGGTACTGTATCGTCTCATGTCTCAATAATGCATGAAGCTTCATCTTCTTCCCAGGTCCTATCTTACCCTGGCTCCGCAGCCTCGATGGGCTCAATACCCACGATGATGCCTACAGACTCAGCATATCCGGTGGCGTAACCACCGCAAATGTTCTTCCTGGATCTGCTAATGCCATTGGTACGGTCAACTTGATTCCTTTGTATGGTGCTATTAACACCTCCAACAGGTGGCCAGGCGTTCGTTATTAAGCTTCGTCCCACTGCAGAACGCTCTCCTTCATCTATGCTCCTGGAACCACCCTATACTCTCAATGGCACGCATGTTGATCCGACCTTACCTCCAAGATGGAGACAAATGAAGTACATATCCTTTTTCTTTTTTGAAGCACATGTACCCATCTATTTTAATCAGACACGCGTGCGGCGAGAATCCCAGTAAGCTTTCATTCTTCCTTATCCCACATGTCCTTGTCAAAAACAAATTTGAGGTCGTGTATACGGTAACACGCGTATGGATACTTTCTGGGCTTTCCGACAGGCGTGCGTTCTACAGCCTCTCTCCTTGGCTTCCTTCTCATGATAACACCTATACCCACAGATATGACACTGCTCGGCAGATTAAAGAACAACAGGACGCGTATTGCGCTCGTGCGCTAGCAGGTGAATGGGAAAACCTCGGCGAGTTCCCTGACAACCTACAGTGGGAAGCGCTTGTCGATGTATTGCGCGGGCGTGTCAAGGTATGTTTCAGTATTTCCTATCATGTAAGAGGACACCCTAATATCTTTTTCCTTGAAATAAGATTCACACGCATTGCTACGAGGCAGTTGATCTGGACGACTTTGTCCGTGTGCGTAACGTCAAAGTGGTTGTGCTATGCGTTGCTAATGAGGTTTGAACAATAGCTTACCAACGAATTCCAATTTCCGATCGCTGCGTTCCACCACGCTCATGAGACATACCTCGTCCCAGGAACTCTCAAGCAGGCGTATGGTATAGTGATCTCGCTTTGCTGACCTCTTGTTGTGTTGATGTGTTCTGTAGGCCACACCCCTGCAGCAGCCTTGTTCGCTACAAATGCCCGGTACAAGCGTGAGGCATACCGCGGGTCGGAATTTGCTCCGCGTATTCTAGCCGAGAACGGGATTGACGTCGTGATGAAGGTCTGCACATTTGTGTCCCCCCCTGACTTCTATACTGATTTGATATATCGCACAGAGTGATCATCCTGTCCTCAACTCTCGCTTCTTGTTATACGAGGCGCAGCAAGCGTACATGTACGGCCTTCCGGCGAATCTTGCTCTTGCAGCTGTTACGTCGACACCCGCGCGCATTATGGGACAGGACCATCGGATTGGATTCGTCCGCGAAGGTTTGCTACTATCTTTTCAAAATCGAACACATGCTGACATATTTCCAATACCAGGATATGACGCTGGTCAGTCCGCTCGGTGCATCTCTGTCGTGAACCGTGACAAATTCTAACTACTACCCAGATCTTGTTGTATGGGATAGCCACCCTCTCGCGCTAGGTACAACGCCACAACAAGTCTGGATTGACGGCACTCCCCAACTTTCTGAGCCCGCCGTCGCCTCAAAACCCGCATCCTTCCAACAGGCCCCGCGCACACCAAATTTTGATCTCGAGGCTGCCGCGGCTATCAAGTATGACGGACTCCCGCCCCTGACGCCAAAAAAGGCAAAAGATTTGGTGGTGTTTGCAAATATAAGTAGCATGTTTGTGCCGGACGGAATGGGTGGTGTGATGAGTGTGGCTGAAGTAGGAGAGGGCAGTGTGGTAGCCCTCAGGAAGGGTGTGGTGCAATGCTGGGGTGCTGCAGCTACTTGTGCGAACGAATTCACCTCAGAAGATGCCGAGTGGATCGACCTCGAGGGCGGGTCTATCGCGTGCGTTTGTCACTGACTTTCAGCCCTATTCTCCCATTTTAATGCGACTCGTAGTCCTGGCCTTATCTCTTACGGTTCTCCACTTGGTCTGGAAGAGATTCAGGGCGAGAGCTCCACGCACGACGGCACTGTTTTCGACCCTCTCACCGGCTCTATCCCAAGCATCCTCGCAGGGAGCGAGCTCATTAAGGCTTCGGATGGTCTCCAGTTCGCCGGGCGCGACACACTGTAAGCTGTCTATCGAATTACCGCTATGCCTGCTCTAGCTCACATCTACGCCAAAGCCTGGCCTACCGCGCAGGTGTCACTACAGGTGTCACCGCGCCAAGCTCAGGTGGGCTCATTGTGGGGCTGAGTACGGCGTTCAGCACTGGCGCAGCGCACAAACTCGAGGACGGGGCTGTCATCCAAGATGTTGCGGCACTGCATGTGCAAATTGGTCACTCAAAACGAGGACCGAGTGTCAGCACGCAAATCGCAGCGCTAAGGAATATGCTGCTGGGTGATAAGGGTAGTACCACCTTTGCTGAGGTTACAAAGGTATGTTTCCATTTGTCTTTTTACGTGTTATAATGTGTCTTAATATATATCTCATAGGGCGCTATACCCCTGGTTGTGGAAGTCCAGAACGCGGATATCATTGCTTCGCTTATTGAGCTGAAGAAAGAGATCCACACGCACACGGGACTGATATCCAGCTCACTGTTTCAGGTGCTGCTGAGGCCCATCTTCTTGCCAAGGAACTTGGTGAGGCGGGCGTCGGTGTCGTCCTCACACCGTCCCGTCCCTTCCCTGATGACTGGGAGTCAAAGAGGATGTCAGTGATTATCCATTAGACCGTACCAACAAACTCATCATCTACCAGATTGCCTGGTCCACCATTGACCAATGAGAGTGCTGTTACCACCCTCCTAGCTCATGGTGTTACTGTTGGTGTCGGTGTCGTGGAGCAGTGGAGTGCTCGCAACACGCGCTTCGACGTAGCATGGGTGAGTAGATTCTCTTTCATCAAGTCCCCGGCTCATCGTATGGCTATTAGGCTGCTCTTGAGAGCTTTGACAGGATCTCAAGGGAACAAGCTCTCGCACTTGCGTCAGTCAATCTCGAGAAGCTGTTGGGAGTCAAGCCCTCTGGGGGGCTCAGCGATATGGTCGCAACTCGTGGCGGTACAGTCCTCGACTCCGAAGCGAAAGTCATCGGCATCATCTCAGCTCGCAGAGGCGTCGTAGACCTAATCTAGATATAGGATAGCAGGACAACATTCAAGATAGCATTACACGGTAAGGAGGATACCACCAAGTGCAGCGTGGCGCGACTTTGATACTTATGAAAAGTGCTTATTGCGGCTTTCCTACGAGGGACTGTCTGACATACTCCTGAATTAAAGGGAGCCCTTTCATAATGAGCTTGATGGGTTTGCTCTCGTCTATGTTGATCGAATCAGATCTAAGAGTAGTCGCTTCTAAGAGACACGAACCGATCTGAAGGACTCTACCATGCCTCTTTAGAATCCTCGCTTCAGGAGCAAACGCTGGGTGCTCTGGATGGACAATTACGACCGAGTTCTTTGTAGCATATGATTAGATATGCCAGCTGCAACGAAACACAATGCAAACCTTAGAATACCATGCTCGGAGCTCATCTGCGTCCTTGGGTATCAGCGGGATGCTTATGTTTCCCACAACCTGTATCACCGTATTGACATAGCGAATCATGCCAACCGCTTAGTAGAAGTGAGCTGTCTTCAAATATGCTTAGAGTACGAGATACGTACGACGGCTCTCCATAAGCTCCATAAGTGCATGACAGCCGGGGCCATGTCCAATGAAGACAATATTTTTCGCTCCTGAAAGCCTGAAAAAAACTTAGCTTTTAGAGCTGGGAAATTCGTGGAGACGGCCAACTGTATATAGTTATCCCATAGGTATGTAAGAACGTCCCGTGTCCACGACTCTACGTGTTTGTGGCCGCGCTGACAGGCCAAAGGGGTCAATACTAAACACTACAACACAAACACTAGCACGCATACCGGCAGAGGCGAGGCAAATGGTCTCGGAAAGACATTGACATCGAGCAGGGCATATTTTTCCTTCATAATCCATGAAATGAGTTCCTTCGAAAAGTCGATCTGGGACACGTTAGCATAAGTTGGATAAATGTGCCGTCAATGATAGGCAGCTAACTAGGTAAGAGTTCTCCATCTGCACATCGCACGTAGGCTTTCCATCTAGTTCTATGCGCAAATTTCCACTGTAATAAAGTCAGCAATGAGCAACGAGACTACTCAAGGAAGGTTCACAATTCATGGACAAATACAATAATTGTAGGATTTTCTAAAAAGTCATTCCTGCATTTTACTGAGTCTCACAAAGTAGTAACAAATCAGACTACGCACGTGCACATAACTTGAGAGCCGAAACGCTCTTCAAACATCTTGGTCATTAATGGAACCTGGAGCATTTGGTATTGCGTGTAGAGAAAGTGTTGTCTGTGGCCCTTGAGAATTTCTACAAGGAATCCATGAAATGCGAAATACACGACATAGAAGGAAATGCTTACCTGGGATTGAGAATGATATTTCATCGACCTCTGTAAGGAAGTTCGTATGAGCACTCGACTGTTTCCCGCTGGATATGAGGAGACAAACCTTCGCGTGGTTCACAGGCCTTTGGGTTCACGCTCTTCCAGTATTTGCTCTGCTCCATAGCAACCTGCCAAACTGTCTCTGTCCCTGCCTCAGACGCAACCATAGGAGGGAGTTCAGGAGGAGCCTCGCCGAGAAGTACGCGAGCGACTGCGAGAGAAGAATTAGATATCGAATCAAGGTTATAGCCACCCTGTGGAAATTGGAATCGGAAACTCAGAATGTCATAGATTAAGACGTCATTAATAGACCTACCTCTAAGGCGACAACTAACTTTCCACCAGCAAGCCCCGATAACATGTGTGTCATGTGTGCGTATCCCGCTGGAGAAACAAAACATTCGCCAAGATCATCCCCAACAGCAGCGTCAAAGCCAGCAGAGACTTCATAATGTTAGCCCACGGGTGGCGTGGAAAATAAAAGAACACACTAATCACTAGATCTGGGGCAAATTCCATTCCTATTGGCATCACGATTTGTTGGAAGGCGTGGATATAATCCGCATCTGTCATGCCCTTCTTCGGCCAGGGTATATTGACGGAGCTGCGTTCATCAATCTCTGTGAAGCTGAACGAGGGGTGATCACTTACTAGCCGAGGCCAGCCGCTTCACCACAAGATTCCATGCTGCCAAATGGTCCACACGGGTAAAATTGCCCTCGCTCGTAGCGATGCAACGAGATGTACAGAACAGAGGGATCATCATTGAAAGCACGCTGTGTTCCATTACCTATACAGGCATTTGTATGATGAAATTCAGTTAGTGATTGGCATACCATGATGTACATCCCTTCACAGAAAGTAAGAATATGTATAAAAAGAAAGGTCGCGAAGACCTACCAGTCGAGTATCAAGATCTTTCTGACTGGAGTCAGAAACTGTGTGACCTTTGCAGCGACAGCGACATTGTTGAAAAAACAAAAACCCATGTGCTCCTCAGGCTCAGCATGGTGCCCGGGGGGTCGTACTATTGCAAAGGTCTTCTTCAGCTCATTACGAGCTACAGCGAGACAGGCCTCAATCACGCCTCCACAACTCAAGCGCGCAGCTCGGGTAGTACCACTGGTAACGTACAGAGATAGGGACTCATAATAAGCTTCTGATTCAAAAATTTCGGACGGTGTCATTGCTGAAGAAGCAGGTAAATTCTCGAAGTAAGCAATGTATCTTATGCGTGAAACACTAGTGCGGATATGATTTACGAGCCGCCACTCACATTGAATCGCAAGGACCTTGTGCCAATGTTCTTGAGAATGGACAAGAAGGACTTCATCTCGCTTTACAGGTCGAATCGGGATTTGTTTCATTTTCTGTAATAAATTCGCGTCGCGAATTGCCGTTCGGATTCTTGATATTCGTTCTGGCTGCTCCGGATGCTCTCCAGTTGCCGATGAATGGAGCATCATGTCCTGAGAATAGACATAACCGACCGTAAAATGCGGCAGACGGTGCGGCACGGAGGAGGCGCGTTGGACAGGACTCAATGAACGTTGAATGGATACTTGATTTTGGCGATAGTCTTCTCTATCCACGTCCATTGAATTTCCTTCACCTTGTCCGATCATGGTGAGCTCAGTGCCAGCCGCGCTCGATAGAGCTCGGAGACTTGTTTGAAAGAAGAATGAAGGAGATAGATCCAAAACCTTACAAGGAGGGCAAGAGAACAAAGCAAGACCAAACACCGGTGAACCTGCCGGTAACCAAAAACTTGGTAGTTATGGCGGCGTACGACTAGGCCTCCATGTGCATGTGCACCGCTAACTTGATTTCCCCTCCCAGCACTGAGAGCACAGGTGAGATTTTTTTGTCACCATAGCAATCACGAACGGCTAGGTTTAACTTTGTGTTATTACCAGTTCTGACTCCGAGCCGTGCGCAGACTCTACGGTATCCATCGAGTTCACTAATGAATTAAGTCCCGGGTTACCGTGACTGCCACGACTACTACTACGCTTCAAGGTCAGCACTGTGCTTTATTTTCACTCTTCCCCACACACGCATCACCTATTAATATTTACTTACAATGTGCTTTTCAGATCTTGCTAGATCTGGCATCTAATTTTCTTTTTTCTTGGCGACCGATTTTCATTACCCACCGCGTTATTAGGCTCCATTAGCGCCATGGCCTTCAGCCTCAAAAACTACTTGCTGTATTCCCCGTATTTTTGTTTCTGTATACCAGTGCGATTCGGATTCGTGCTACTGACTTGTCTGTCCTTCCTCTTTTCGGGTTTACTATCTGTTTTGGTGTGGTTTGAACTGTCTCGTGCGTGTGCTCAGGTCATCATGATATAACACTGATCATATTGTTAGATTCGTATTCACTCACTAGTCAGGAGAAATCCTCCTTTTGGGCTGTGGGCATCATAGAAACTATATTGCTTGCTGTGTCTGTCATTGGGTGCGTATCATACATACCTCATACTCTGGACCGATTCTTACTTACTGGCGACCTTCACATAGGTTCATTGGCGCGGTTGCACGCAAGCAACGATTTGTCGCAGTTTACGCATACTTCGTCTATATCCATCTTCTCCTCAATGTCATTGTCGGCATCTACTTCCTCGTTACCATCCGCCAGAGCAACCGACAACAGCTAGTTGACGAATGCTATACTGTATTCTCCAACAATCCATCTGAATCCAACTGTCAAAGCCTCATGAATGTCTCAACATACGTATTCATTGCTGTGGTATCACTTGTATTGCTTCTTGAACTATGTGCGTCCAATACATGTCCCTCTGCTCAAATATTGATGGGCATCCATCGTCATCTTAGACGGTGCTCTCATCGCCACTCGCTATCTTAACACACTCACAAAGCAGAAGAAGGTCGAACACAGTCGTAGATTGGGATTATACCATTCAGTTGCCAACATCCATCCCAGTCATTCCTGCGACCCAAGCGGCACGTCTGACGACATAGAATTGCTCCATCATCGAGACAGTTGCGGAACTACTTTTTCGTCGCTTGGAGGCCCGTATGATTATGGTGACGGCGTTCTCGACATAACACATCCACCTACAAGCAATGAGCCTGTTCCGACGCATCACCCCGATATGCTTTCCCATAACCAACGATCATCACAGTTGTCAAGCACTCCCACCCATCAGCAGCAGCCATCTCATTCAAACGCATACCCTTCATCCAGTACTTCTTCACCTTCGCGAAGTTTCCGTGCACTCCCCCCTCGTCCGTCGAGTAGTGTAATTACTGAAATCCCAGTGACAAGTATATCACCACAAGTATCGGATCAAACGCCACGTACTACTACCTCTGACCCTCCGTCGAGCTTCTCGTACGAGAGCCATGATCCATCAACACATCCGAATGATGACGTTGATCGGCGATCAACATATTCTATTTCCACAAGCGCACATGCAGCATTGATGGAACATGCTTCGTTGATGTGGCCAAGGTTCTTTCCACCATCTAGTGCTCCTCCAGTTCCGGAGTTGCCACCGTATAGTCAGTCTAGGAGATAGTATGGACTCGATGGAATAATTCCTCGACTTACTCTGACTTTTATTGTTGATGCTTTTTATTGCTACGACACACCGTAGTTTTGTTCTGTTGCATTTCGACGGACTCTTTAGGCCAACATATGTAATTTTTTCTATAATGGACAGTGATATCAGGATGTTTATCCAAATTTCAAACATGGAGCGCCTGCTGTTTTGAGGCTGTTGGACAACAGGTCCAAACACCGACCTTGATGCCAACACTCTACGCTGTACAGAGACTTGACAGCAGAGGCAGTATTTGGCAGGGACGAATATACCGACTATATCTACACGGCGAGACATACTAGATGACATGCACAAGCGTCATGACGCCCAACGCCAGCACATCATCGACTCCGTACGTTTCTGTCTTGAATGTTATGCATGAAACTCACGCTGTGTCATACAGTTGCATGACCTATTGTTCCAATTGCATGCCGTCTCCTTCTTCCTCGCGCCCTCACTCGTGCCACTGGTCACCAGAGCCATGTGTTGTCAATTCCTGTGCTACAAGCCGAGGGAGATCGATCCCAAAATCTCTCTGCGATCGTGGTTCCTGCTCACTTTCTTCCTCAATTTCCCAAGCTTCTGGTTACACGCACGGGAAGGAACGGGCGAGGGGCGGACAGTCGTGCTGGATTTTGTTGGAATGGGTGCGTTCATTATTCTACTAGTTTTCATGAAAATGAAAACAATTACCTCACAGAGTATGCACCCTCTAAAATGCACCTCCTTCTGCTTGACGTCCTCATCTTGGTTTTTCTATTGCTGTTGGAAACGCTCGCGTACGAGAAATCGCTACAGCAGTCATCCTCTATCGCCTCCGAGGTTCTCCTTCGACATCATCTCGTCCCCACACCGCCACTCTCACACTCGATCGAGGATGAACAGCCGAAACCTTCTCGTAGTGAACGAACATATATAGTAGACCTGCGCCTCGCGCCCTTGATAAATCGCATACGACAGCCAGCTCCAGAGGTAGTAGAGCAGCCTATCGAGGCACTTCCACTTCCTATTACCACCAACATCCCCGCGATACCCCTCCGTTTTCAGGCATTCATGAGGACGAGAGGACGCCCATCGCAGCCCGAACATGGTTCCACAGCTTCAAATGGACAGGAACAAACTGAGACGGAGCAGAGGTTACCAGGGAGCATGGGAACTGAGGATGTCGACTAGTTAACGTTGTATGTATTTTAATAGCATGGCTTTCCAAAAGAACCCAAATCTACATCATCTCCTGGACGCCTCATCTTCGCATATATTTACATAGCTAGGCATCACCATCTGCGTTTCATCTTGAGAAATAGACAGAGTCAGAAGATGCTTCCTTTATCATCACGGGCAAGACATACAGCTTCACGCAAACACTGCCCGAACTTTTCAAATTCTTGTTTGCAAGAATCTTTGCGAACATCTGTATAAGCAGCAAGTATACATTTTCCATATGTCGTTGCGTGCGACGAGCATGTGGTAGTCGAATGAAGTGCTAACTGCCTGAGAGGCGTCGTACTTGTCTTCGCTGTTTGCATGACTGACGACTGGGAGCAGCACTGCTCCCGGCAATTTAAACTGCTGATTAATCAGCGATGATGAATACCGCAAATTGCTTAAACGGCGAATAGCGGCTTCGGAAGTTCCACTGACCAAAGCCGAATACATGATGCAACTCTAGCACACACACACCACCACCACATAGCACGAAGGGCTTCAAGTCATCCGACGCAGAAGGCGCGGTATAGGATAGTCTTTCAAAGTCTTAGTCGTACCATTGTCGAACCTAAATCTGTGAGAGTCACTGCAACATGCTCAAAATTTACCTCCTGGTTTCTTGCATCTGCGTGCTCATAGCCGCAGTCTTCTATATTTTCTACTGGAACCGCATTATTTCTGGATTTATTAGTCTTCTCCTGCGAGTCAAGTACTGGCGACAAGGAGGCTCCAGTATATGGGTGCACATCGGTCGGTTTTCTATTACACTTGACTCATTGACACCACTTAAGGTATAACCCAGGATCCATCCATCTCTCAATCCTCGCGGGACGCATACTACTCAAAGATGTCAAATATCATTCCAGCAATATGACTGTCAAAATTGTGACTGCTCAAATATCCTGGAGATATTGGTTGCGCGTCCCAGCTACTGAGGATGATCTGAATCACGCCCATGTTGGTGGAGAAGAGTGTAAGACTGACACTTATTTGGCCTTTTTGTGCATTGAGTAACAAGTGCGCGTTCTGACAGTCAACCATACGTTGCCGTTCCCTTCTTGCCGGATCAAGGTCTCTTTCGAAGGATTTGAGTGGCTTCTATACAACAAGACTGCAGCATATGATCATATCATCTCCCAAATGCAGGCCAAGGCATCCCCATGTTCGGATGTCTCGGAACCTCGCAGAATGTTTTCTCGTACTTCAGGAGCTGATGGTATGTCATTCCATGTACTTGTTGTTCATCTAACCTACTTGTTTGATCATAGGGCTAGGTCTCTACCCTCCTCCTGCACTGGCAAATATCAAAGCGCCGCCCGTCATTCATGCTGCACTGGCGTGGATTAAACGTCAGATGCCCTATCTGGATCCGAATGACATTTTGCCCATTGCACTCGAGCTGTCCAAGGTTGCCATCACTTGCGGTAATCCTTCAACACCAAGTCTGTTGGTCGCAGAGTGCCACAGCGCGGAAGGCACGTTTGGGATTGTCCAGGTCGGGCTATTCATCTTTGGTATGCATTTTGATACCGATACCTTGGACAGGCAAGGTCGAAGTGCGACCTCTATAAACAGCTCTTGAATTTGAAATTTCAAAAAGTGCTTGTGCAACTTGTTGAGAACGACAACTACCAGGGTAGCATGCCAACAATAGGGCATCGCATTCGCGAGAATGCAGAAACATCGAGGTTCGTCGCGTTTGTGTTTAATGACTTCGATTAACGTCATTGCTGCGTATTCAAGTCGGTTCCTAGAACTAGTTCCTTTAGATTATCTTCCATTCCGGGCATTCTCCAGGGTTTGGAAAGGACTGAAGTTATATACGTCTGGCCATGGCTCGTCCGTTCACGACCGCCGTGCAGCTGAGAAGAGTTTTGGACCTATACCAAGCGGAAAATCAGCCAAGAGCATTGACGAAGAAACACCCGTTGGCGCTGACTTTACTACTTTAGAATATGCTATTGAGCGGCGGATTATTGAAGCCCCCATTCTGGAGCTATCATATTACACAGATGTCGTCGGCGATGTGCCTGTTGCACAAGATGGTCCAAGGGGCATGGGATTGGAATCCTATGACATCGGCAATGGTGACCTACCTCCTGAGTGGGGTGTAGACCTGGTAATAAGAAAAGGAACCATTCGTTATGGACCATGGGCTGATCGCCAACGGTAACGGTCATTTTCTTATTTAGGAAGCGCGCTCATGATTCGAATTCTATTGCCAGAGTCCATCTGCAACGGACATTCTTCCCGTCAACGTATCACGACTTGGAGGTATCAAAACACCTTAAGCCAGGAGATAAACGTACTTGGACTGCAATGAAAGTATTTGTCGAACTTCGTGATAAAACAGTGCTGTATGTTCCTTTCCGAGAGCCTTCAAAGGTAAATACATGGCATGAGGCTCGTATCTCTTTGTTCATCCTCTCTTAGAACTGGCAATGGGATGGTGTCAGTGACTATCCGTGTCCAAGGAAGCGTGACCACGCAGCTCTTCATTGCACTGCAGGTGACAGCTCCTCAATTAGCTACCTTCTGCCTATGATTACAGGACCCGACGGATATGAACCACGTTTGGAGGTTCATCTCGATACAGTTTCTGTAACGTCGAGCCTCAACGATATCAAGCTCATCGCAGCTGAGTCATGTCGCGTTCGTACATATCCTACTATCCCATGGAAATTATGCTGAAAACCACTCAGGTTCATGCGTCATTTCCATCGCCCCTTGTATGGAACGCCGAGCGTCTTTGGTCATTCTCCATATCTCTTCGTCAACCGGTTATATATCTCTTGCGAGACCACATCAATATGTTCACTGATTTGACGCGGGACTGGACCTTTGGGCCGCCTACCGAATGGAATCTTTTTGTGCCGACTATTTATGCGCTTGAGCTTGATCTGCACCAGTTTGAGCTCAATCTATATGCCAACGACCAGAACATAATCGATAAGCCTTTGGTCAAGGGGGAGAACAGTAAGCGGATTCTATTACCTGGTCTCAAACACCATTATTCATAAAAATTCAGCGTTGGTGACGATCCGTGCACCGCGTTTAAACATTCAAGTTACCTTACCGTCAAATAAATATCGACCCGAGGCGACGTCCATTCCATTCGTTCTGAATGTTCCAGATGTGAATGTTTTTCTCTCTTTGCCGCGGTGGAATACGCAGTACCTCTATAATTCAGGGAAAGAACATCGTATAATCCACGCAGCAACCTTCCGCATCACGTCCTCGTATTACTTCTGGGCCGATGTTCAACCCGACAACATTGATCAATTAAAGCTCACTGTAGAGGTATGTCTGGCATTTGCTGATCGCGTCCCTTGCTCATTGCCACTAAGACTAGTAATGTCGCATACAAGGCCCTCGGTTGGTCTGTCAGGTACTTAATGGTACTTCGGGACAATTATTTTGGATCTTTCACCCACTTTTCTACGCTCGTGGAATATCTTGAAAAACGGAGCAGGTTTAATTTGATTGGAGATCCACTAGAGATGAAGCATCGGCCAGGCAAAGTTAGTGAACCGGTCGTATGTCTTGAAGCCACCTAACGGACGAGATACAGTCAAATTCCCTACAGGTTCAGGTATCGGTACAATTGCAGTCTGGCATAATACTTTTACCTGCAGGCTTGCCTGGCTACGAAGTGCGCGTTGCAAGCGACAGAACATTCGATGATATTGGCGCATCTACAGTCATGGCTTGTTCAGTGCTTCAACTGGACTTGCGACTGCATGACTATTTCATGGGTCAGTCAGCGTCAGACGATGAATTGTAACTATTTAACCGTGCAACAGATGCGTCACTGAATCTGAACGCAATCAAAGGTTCTGTCCTTGACGCTTGTTCTGAGAACGCTTTCTTCGCCCAGGCACATCAACGCTACGAAGACTCATTCTTAATCGATGGTACTGTCGGTTCCGTTTGTTCTTAACAACCGTAACTTATATTCGATTGCAAGGTCTGAATATCACTGCTAACAGGCTATTTGGATCACAGCCGCGTACTCGTACATATATATGTGTTTGGGAAATTGCAGTTGGACCAGTGAAGGCCCTATTGACATCTCATGATGCTCGAATCTTACTGGCATCTATGAATGCTGTCCGTCTTAATTACACTGACCTCGCCAACGCTCCCGCGACTGAATTTGGAGTACCTGTAGATCCAGACGGTAAAGGAACTATCCTTGCACGAGAACATTCGCTGACACAATTATTCAGTCACTTTCATCCGATTCTCAACTGGCCATGTCGACGCCACTTGGTCTATTGGTACAACAGCCGTAAACGTGTCAATTCCTTCGGGCTTCAGTGTTCATACCAATGATCTGGAAGGCCAATTTTGCGGCAAGCTCACGAGTGTCAGACTCCCCCTTGCGTCACTGAAGATTCTGCTGTTATCAAGGGACTCGAAGACGAGCTGGTGTGAGGCGGCCGATCTGTCTACAGACATCAACCTGGATATGTACAGATCCCCGAAGATCCGCAATCCATCACAGATGGATTTCATGAAGGGGCAAGATGAGCTGACACATCGAGCACAGCATCTACTTGATGAAGTAGAGAGGGCACGAAGAGCCTCTCTTTCTGATAACCGACAGTCACTGCAACGTACGCGTTCTAGTCACCATCGCAATGGACTCTATCTTCCTCCTCCGCGTCTCCCACATTTCTGCAGAATAAAACCACACCCCCCAGCACCGCTCACGAGCGGTGCACACTCCAAGAGCACGGCTGCTTGGTGGCCTCAACTTTCCCATCTCTCAGAATCCGACGGAGAGGAGAATATATCAGAAGCAGATCGTGATGCACGTCTGGCGTATGTTGTCCGTTTTCTCGTCTATTCTACTAGATATAACAGTTTTTGCAGGAGGAGTCGACTTGCGCCACCGACCACCGTTGACGACGACATCTCTGTATCGGGGGAGGAGTCGGATGACGAAGATCTAACAGATACTGAATCTTCAATAAGCGGTTGGTCCTCGACTAGATGTAAGTCGTTTCTAAACGCAGAGCGTTACAGCTGCTGAGTTTAGACAGCCGCGACTCAAAGGCACTCGCTGATCAAGCGCTACCGTCGTGTCACTAGGTGGTACCAGAGTATCAACCTGGACGATATCAACAGCTGGGAGGACTCGCCCTTCGTTATATTCAAGGTAAAGTAGGCAAACTTATTTTTCCCGAATATCGCTCAATTAGAAACCAGGAACCTAGAATTCCAGCACTAAAGAACAAGCATTCATCCAGAATACGTCCGATTGTACAAGCCAGTGAAAGAACGAGTTCTGTTCACTCCACAACTTTCCGCATAC